AAATATTTTGAAAATTTTGTAGTGAATAGAAAATGCTAATATAAACAAACATTGAAAATTGAATGTATTTAGCGAGGAGCGTTGTACCTATAGCAGAGCGCTCATCATATAAAATTAAAACTGTACCTACGCTGTTATTCGGAATTCATTTAAAAAATCGTCATTTTTGTCATTTTTTTTTCCTTTTTTTTAATTTTAAAGGAGTCAACATTTGAAATTCCCAATTGTTTTCAAAAGCAACAGGTAAAACAAACAAAAAAATTAAGGAGAAACATGAATTTTTACGCAAAATCAGTTTTCGAAAAAATCGTTTTTGGTTTTTAGTGTAACTCTAACAAAAATGACAGTAGAAAATGTAATTTTCACTGAATATTTGTATAAGAATTTTTTAAACAGCAAACACCATACAATTTCAAAATATTTTGATTTGTGTTGAACTATTTATAGGCAAATTAAATTTTTGATAATTATTTGTTTTTTTCTTAAACCCAAGTCGATAAAAGAATTTTCGCTCGGTCAAAAAACATGAAAATGTAATACAAGATTCCTTGTAAGCTGTTGTTAATGGAAATTAAAAAAAAAGTTGAGCATAAATCCACAATAATTTTTTACGAACGTTTAAATTCAGAATTTTGACAAAATTCGTTAAAATCATGAAAATTAGTAAATTCTATTTAGTTAGAAATTCATACAAAATATTCTATTTATCTATGATTTAAAAATTTAATACAAGATTCCTTACAAGTTTGTATACCTTAATCAAAAAAAATATCTACCGGAAAGTCAAATTAAATTTATATGAGCGTTTGAAGTTGAAATTTTTACAACATTGGATATTCCCTCGATTTCTCTTGTAGCGATTTTCTTATTTTGTTATAATTCAAACACGAATTACTGTAGACACTTAAAATTTACACCAAATGTTTATTTCATTAATTAATATACCTACTTGATAACATTTTTAAAATATTCTGACTTGTTTTAGGCTGTTGACGGACATTTCCATTATCCTTTTTTTTTCTACAAATGTCAATAACATGTTATTGCGTGGGTCAAAAAGCATGCAAATTTAATACAAGACTCTTGATAACTTGTTACAATAGCAGTGGAAAAATACTAAAAATACATGGGCACGATTTTTTTTTATAAGCAATTTAATGTTCAAATGTTGACAATATTTATCAAGTTGAAAATTGAAAATGATTTTGTAGTTAAAAACAGGCACGGCGCCAAGGAGTGGCAAGGTGGGGCTCTAGCCCCCCCCCAGAAAATAGATCAGCCCCCTCACCAGCCCCCCACTGAAAAATATGTACGATATAATGAAGTCATTTAGTCATAATACATTATTTTTAAATAAGAGCCACATCAAAGAATTTATGAAATATTCCTTTTTAGTTTATGAAATACTATTATATTTTCGAAAACTTGTGTACCGTTATAAAAACTGATATAAATATGTAATAATATTAATATTTTATACTTGCATGCGACGCGGCGTATCAATGCGTCAACATGCAACGCCCGTCTTAGTCTATTTTTAAATAGGTAGGAAATAAATAATAATATTAAAATTAGATATTAATTGTTCACTACTAAACACATCCTTTAATTTATATTATTTTATGAAATGTAGGTAAGTAAAAGAAACAATTATTCATTCACAAATATTAAAGTCATAAAGAAAAAAAAAATATTTGACATTATTCTTAAAACATTTTTAATTATTCAAAAGTTTGTATATATTATCTGTTTAAACGTTTAGAGCATACAATATAAAACGTATGTACTATATAGCTAATAGCTATATTATGTTATATGATACGAAAATATTTATATTTCATTTAAATAACCTCAGCATTTGTTGAAACAATTTTAGCCCATGTAAAAAAAATATTTGCCCCACTCTGCCACCCCTGGAAAAACATTCTAGTGCCTGGTTAAAAATGTATAAGATGTTCAATTTTTATAGATAAGGATTGAAAATGTAAAAGAAGTTAAAAATGTTTAATTATAATTTGTATCTAACTGTTCTGCTTATTAAGCAGTTTTTTTCCATAACTAAGAAACCTAAAAAATATATGAATACAGTTATTTTTTACAGACATTTTAAGTTCAAATTTGGACAAAATTGCATAATAACACAAAGAATAACGGTTATCATTCAGTTGTTATTCGGTTCCAAAACAGACCAATATTACATTGGTATATTTATTATTTTTCCACCATCGCAGATAATGTAAGAATACTATTAATTCAACTTACCGGCTACCATATGAATAAGTAATAACGATATAAAATATCCTAAACTGACATACCGTCTCCACTCAGAATCGTTTTTCGTATACAATTATTTGATATCATTAAATTCTAATTTAAGACCATCCATTACAGCGACCTCTTAGACACCTAATGTACAGCAAAGCGACATAAACTTACCTGGTTTTTTAGGTTCGGTTGTGCTTGTAAGGTGATACCACTATATAAAAGCTTAAAAAAAATTACGACAAAAAGTTGAAAAGTCAGCAAATGTGCGGTAGTGTGGATTTGTTTAAAAAAAAAGTTGAAAAGTAAGCTCCCCCTTCAATGGTTTTTTTTTAAACTTAAAGTTTACAATCATATAACGCTGTCCGGTCACTTTGTTATGTTGCCATGTTATTTCAAGACACCAGCTGCTATTGGCTAAGACTAATGTCATTATCATTTAAAACCATATAATTGTGTAAGTAGTAAGTACATGTGTACAATATATTTTTTCGATATTCATATTCATTCATGTCGAATATTCACAATGCCTATGACACGGCCCCACAGGCCTAACGCCGCCTGCGTTCTCTCCTCAACTGATCACACCACTGTTTAAGATATCCCTCCCAGGTATTGCCAATAAATTCGTGTGTTCAAGTTATACATTCTATGATTTATACCTACTTAAATACTAATATACCCACACTCCTAGATTTCAAATATTATATTTATAGAGGCTATCAATAAAATTGACAATTATTTATCATAATATTCTGTGAGTTGAGTTATCTTAGCCATGCTAAATAATTATTATTATTGTTGACTGATTCATGTCTGTGGACCTATGGTATACTTAAGTAAAATGTAATTATGTATAAGTAGGTAATTTGAAAATATGTAGAACACGGTCTTAATGTAGAACATTAACGTGTATTGATGATTAAAATGTCATTAAATTATCAATAAGCTATCTTTTCTCTGTACCGTGTTTTTGTGGTCTTTTGTTTGTGTAGCGCTATTCAGCAATTAACTAATCAAAACATTCTTCGAACGCACAAAGACAGTTACTGTAAATAATGAAATAAATAAGTTTATTTAAAAACAATTATAACATTGTTGTATTTGTTTCCATTCGGCAATATGGAAATGTTGTCAATTTTTTGGTTTCATCAATAGGCTATGATTAAAAAGGTAAATAATAGATAGGTATAAATTGTTATATTGCTAAGGCACATGTTGGGTTCAAATGCAGCTATCTATGCTCGCTATTAGTTGGTTGTTATGAACTAAAGACTATAAATTAAAAATTTGATGAATTTTGAGGAATATGTTCATTGTTGGTGGGTATTGAAAAATGTTTAAAATAATCTAGTTTTATACAATTATACCTGAGTAGGTATCTCAACGGAATATAGAAATCTTTGGAATTTGGTAATATTGACCTTTCGTTCCTCATGAGTTATCACTTTGGTACAGGACAGCATTGCAGTGGTAACATTTTGGCTTAAAAATGTTGGAACACAACTATTGGCATTTAAAAAAGTTTTGGGGTAAAGCTCAATTCACTATTGCAGTATTCATAGAATATTAAAATCAATCACCTAATTCTACACTTTATTATAAGTCCATTCCTTCATTGCTATTAAAAAGCTATTATTGAGCATTTTAGCCCTTTAAATGAAAGCAAATAAACATTAAATCATTTTACAATATTATATAAACAAAAGGTATGTTTTAATGACATAATTTAAATACAGTCTTGAAAAAAACATTAAAAATAATATACACTTCAGTTATTTAAAACGAATTCCATTCTTTAACACTTAGGTACAATATTAAAATTGTCTTTAAATTATCATTTAAATCAATCACATGATATAATAATTTTGATTGACAGTTAACTAGTCTAATATTTTGCACCCGTTACATTAATATGCATAGTGTAATTCATTAGTACGTAATAAATTGTACTGACTAATAAACACAGCATTCAACTCATCAGATACATTACAATATAAAATAATTACAATCATATTGTGATATAAAAAACAAAGTAAAAAATTGCCTGTTAAGTAAATTACAATAGAACTTAAGTACAAAATTTAAAATATATTTATTCTTTAAACAACTGAATATAAATTACATTCAGTCTTTTATAATATTACAATAACACTTCACATGACTAACTTATAAAAAGTTGAATTATGGAACTTTATTTTGTCAAAAGAAACATTGAAACTTCTTGCTACATAATTGTATTAATTGAAAACTTAAAAATAAAAATCTAATGCAAAGTCTAGGTTTATAACGCAATGATTATTTTTTGTCTTAAAATACAAAATAAAACATACTCAAAGAAATATATTGTACAACATACTACTGTTAATGTAATAAGCAACTGAATTTAAATGTCACCAAGGTCTTACTGATTATTAAAAAAAAAGTCAAATTTGGGTTTACTATACAAAAAATAAATATATTTTTGTCAAATGAACATTAAGAAACGGAGTACATTTTTAGTTAATTATACAAATGGGAAATAAACATACATTTTCAATGGAATGAATAATTCAAAACAAATTAATTATTGAAAAATAGAAAAAAAATACATATAGACGTATAATAGAACAAAAAAAAAAATGGTAATTAACAATTTTAAAGATCACTAAATACTGAGTAAGAAATTAATCAATTTTCATAAAAATACTTTAGTTGTATATTAATAATATTTTGGGCTAAATATAATATGACAAATTAAAAAAAAACAACTTTATTAAAAATAAAAGCAACAATACATTTAATACTTTTAATAATTTGTGTACTTGTGTGGTTGGTTAGCTGAATGTGCCAACCTACATATAAATATTTAATTATTAAGTCTAATTTATTATACAGTATATTAATATTGTAGAATATTAAGTCACCTATATTAGATACTAAGGTACCACTATAGAAAATCTTATCAACTGTCTTATTGAATTCAGTACTTAAAATTAATATATTATTATTAATATCTACTAGTGACAAAAAGTTAACCTTGAGATAATAATCTAATTATTTTAAATGCCAATAAAATAAACTAATTTATTTTAAGACTGAAAAAAATTTACAAATGTACTATTAAGACACGTTTTGTCTTTACTTTTAAATCAGTAAAATTTATATTATATACATCTAAATCACCCTTTTTTGTCAAGCCAAACACTATACAAAATTAATTTTATATCATACTTTTTCATAATGAGCAATGCTATCTGAGAATAAATAAATAGTATTAAATAGTCAATAAAAATTATACATTTGTGATGGATAGTATGAAAATAAAATTATTTATACTAACACAGGTAACCACGGCAATTATCAGATAGACATTTACATTTAATTCGCCGATTTTGGTTTTCATTGTTGACAGATGTCATATAATTGAATGTAATCTCTTCACCTGCACTTATATCTCTAGATGCGAATAATGCCAGAGTTGGTAAATTAGTATCCAAACAATCAATCCATACAGCAAAAATGGCCAGATTAGAATCACATGAATGATTTATAAAATGTGATACATTACCAAATGTAGTAGCATCAATAGAATAAACACTATCATTTTTATCAGTATTATAGTCAAGATCAAACAGGTATGTTGACTTTGATCCATGTGTGACAGCTCGTTGATCAGCTTCTGATCTGGTGATTACTTCACCAGTATATTTAGTAATATAAGTACCCTGTTTTATATTTACCAATGTTTTGACTCCCCAACCGCGATTGTTATCAGTACGAAATATTTGAAGTTTTAAATTTTTGCTAGGACCATGTTGTACCACTCGATTCACACATGTTGCATCGCAAGTGCATTTTTTATTACACTCATAAATAGGAGTGCCTTGAGGAACTATAACACGCTTGAATTTATTATATGCGAGTTGAAAATCACCAAAATGACATTCGGTTTTTTTACGTTTTCTTCCTCCACAGGTAACATCACAGTGGCACCTAAATTTAAAAAAAATACTCATTTAAGTGTTAAAACAAAAAATATTTTTATTTTGCATACCAAACTGGAGGGTCATTTGGAATGACAACGCCATTGCCTGCAACGCATTCATCAACATAGAAAAATCGTTTTGGCGGGCCTTCGAAGTCTACATTGTTTAGTACACTTATACTAAATCCACAGACTGCAGCCATATCACTTTGCCATTTAGTTAATTTTTCTATTTGTTTTTGCCTTTTTCTATCAACTTCAATTATCATTAAATTATGTCTGATGAGTTTCGTTAATGCTGTGCTTCTACTACTTGGAGATACTGTCGATAAATAAGCAATAGTACCCTTAACAAACTTGTCATCTATAGACGGCATGCCATCCTGGATCACATGGTGCAATAATTCAATGAGCTCTTGATCGGCAAAAATATTAAGCGAATCGTACAGTTCTTTATAACGTGGAGTCTGGTAGATTTCAGTAGCAACTATCTTATTTGCTCTGTAATCATTTAATGCTTGAGAACAGTTGGTTAAATTTCGATACGGTTCCCATGTGCATTGGTCCATAGGATAATTTTTCCATTTTACGAGATACATAGTTTTGCTCCCATATGTATCATCAAATAAAATTGATTCTATTTCATACTCATTATCAGCCACTCCTGGAAAAATTATAATATATTGAACTAAAAAATTTTGATTCACACTGAATGAATATTTAAGTCAAATTGGAATAAAATTTAGGTAGTTCTTAAGGATTTTTGTTATACATGATTTTAAGTAAATTATATTATTATTATTTCCTAAATTATATAAGTGAAACAACTTTTCAGTACCGAAAATAATAAAATGATAACCAATTAATACTTATGTAAAACACAGACTTATTAAGGACGTGGCACCCACACGTACAACATGGCAAATTTTCACTCATCAGTTTCAATAATATTCTGTAAGTTTTGATATAGTAAGCTCATACACAGCCGTCATAAGCAAAAACGCTGTAGGTCACCAGAAAACAATTTTGAGAAAACGCGTTTTGGTGTTTAATATTTTCATAATATCATAACACCTTGTACATTCTAATTATTTAAATATGATATATGTTTTCCTATATAATTTTACCCAACGGATGCAATGAATCAATAATAAATATGATTAAATTAATTTTGAACAAGATATTTTACTTTTTACATTGTACCTTAGTATTGGTATAAACTTTAGATACTTTATTCAAAAACAAGAATGCCAGAACTCGTAAGCAATAATTTCTGATATGATAAAATTATTAATATATTTTAACATTAAATTCACAAAACAAATATATTATTTTTCAGTCAATTTATAAATAAAAAAAAAAGATACATAATTTTTATAATTAACAAGTACGAATATTTTACCGAAAAATGTTTCTATTAGCTGGCATAACTTGGGACAGAATTTGAAGGATACTATCACGTCAATTATAATTTGTACTATGTACCGAGATAAAATGCGGTATCTTCTACGATACCTACAGCGCTAGTCCTTAGTACAGTGTATTTGAGGCATTTTTATCTAGCAACCACAAATTTGTCTACGATTTACGGCATTTTAGTTATTTGATTATTGTTTGTGCTATACTTTTGGAGTAATATTTTAGACTTACAATGTATGTTCATCGATACAAGCTAAACTTTAAAATAATTTATTTGTTTTTAACTCATTTTTATTTTTTTGGGGGACTTACGGCGTTTTTGCTTAGTAAATAAGCAAGCTATGATCATTTTAAAATACACAGTCTCAAAACTGTCATAACTTACTTAAAAATAATATTAATAAAAGCCTACATGCAGCCCTAGAAAATAATTTTACCTTTAAATTGTATAATGGGTCAATTCACTCTAATATCAAAACTAACAGCAGTACAGCACACCACCGTAACTGGTGAACAAAAATTTGGTACGTCGTATGTGTGTAAGACGGTGACAGAGCATGCAGGTACTACGTTCTCTTGAGTACCAACCTACCTAGATATTTTCATCAATAGTTACATAATTAAAGGGTTTTTAAGATATTCACACAAACCAGAAATTTTTAAAAATTATTAATCAATAAAAACTAAATTTTAATCATATTATATTTAATGTTGCAAAGTGAATACGTTGGTAGATACGCAGTTGCGGGTTTTAAACCTTGATATTGACAGCAGGTATTAGATTCAAGTTGGCGACATCATGAATCTGATTATTTGTTATTATACAACAAGTAACAAACATTTAAAATAGGTAGTAGAAATGTATGTTTTCTGAACGTAGCGAAGCCGATCTAATCCTCGTCGAGTTCGACCAGAGAACTCTAAAAACCCCTTAAGGGTCCAGAACTCGGAGGAGCACGACCGAGGACGATTTCGAATTTTGTCACCTACCTGCGATAATTAGGAATGGTTTCGTGAAAAAAATAGCCCACCAACACCTCACCACAACGCCAACGGACGCTGAAGGTGAAAAAACGGTGGAATAGAAAAGTCCGTTAACGCTGGGTGGGAAAACCTCGGTGAAAACTATCAAGGACTGGCGATAACGAAACACCCGTCATGTCACCGTCGTGGCGGGCCCACAGAGACGACGACACCACGCACCATGCGACGACACGGATTTTGAACAACAAAAACATACCTTTATGCATTGTAGAGGCCGAGAATAAAAAATCTGGATCAACTGGCGGTCAACGTATCAGGTAAAAATTTGGCAGCAGACGGACGGATTCGCACCAGGAACACTCGATCTCTGTGGCCGTACCGACAACACGAACCGTATCGGTTAGCGCGGGAACCGTAGAACGAATGAGTGTTGTCGAACGGGCGGGCGGGAGAGCAGGTAAACGTTGGGAGGATGGTGGGGTAAGGCGGCGGCGTAGAGTAACGGCCGAACAGCGATAACAAAACGCGGTACAAACAAATACGGGCGACAGGCCTATAAAATAAAGCGGCTACGACTGCGGACAGTAGACAGCGGTTGGGACACTACGACGGTACCGGGTACATCGACTTCGTGGAGATAACAATGAAAATTAAAACGGCTGCCGCTCGGCGCAGACGCGCAGTGCTAAATAGTACACCGTACAACTGGTACGTGCAGTCCAACGGTCGCCGATCGGTTTTTGAATGTGCCAAAGTGGAGCCGGGGGCAGGGGTCGGCGCCAGGCGGTAACGGACATGGCGGATGGCGCGCAGTGTCGCCAACAGCAGATGGGAGCGCAACCGGTAGCCGTAGAGTGTAAAGAGCGGTAAACGGGTATACGCATTGGCATTTGGCGGGAAACATAATATGACGGTCTTAACCTTTGTCAAAACAATAATGACTTTTTGCATACCATTTATAGAACAAATAGGCACTATTGAATATGTTATAAACATTTATTAGGGAATAAGAATGAAAGGCGGGAACTGTAAAATGTTGATACCACACATTTTTGATACGTCACGGGCCTGGCATTTGTGAACCATCAAAATTATTTTTTATAGAAAATTTACAGGAAAATTGAAAGGATGGTTAATTAAAGACACAAACATGGCCTAATCAATAGCAAAATATTCAGATTTTTTAAGAATAATTATTTTAAAGGCACATTGGAAGTTACATCGAGTGGCTACGCCATGCCAAACAGCCGGTCTCACCCGCCTCAATAATGTTTCACAGAAAAAAATAGATTTTGACAGAAATGGTTGTTATGAATAGAAATGATATGAATAATGACCGTATTAAAGGAGGTGGCGTTCTTAATTCTTATAGCTATCCATAATCGTTTTTGCCCTAATGATCTTACCTTATCTAATGTTTCACTAGAATGCTTAGCCGTTTCATTCAAATCAAGTAATTGTAAAATTATTATTGTGGCTATCTATATCCCTCCAAATAGATAGTTCTATTGATGTATATAAATGCCAATGTGCCGAGTTAGAGAACTTAAGGCTAATCTTCTCTGACTATACTTTTATAATAGTTGGTGATTTTAATTTACCTGGGATAAAATGGTCTAATCAATATCACGCTATATTATCTGATAGTACCTATGTTAAATCAAATTTTCTTGCTGAGACTATTGCGTATGAGTAGTTTTTTTCAACTCAATTTTATTCCTAATTATAGAAATAATATACTAGACTTAGTAATATCCGATAACAATACTTTAGAAGTATCAAAGTGTTCGTTTCCATTAATTTCTGTTCACGTGGCCCATCCCCCACTTCAAATAAATGGCCCAAATTTTGTTTCCTCTCTTATACGCCATTCCCGTCCCCAGAGCCTAATTTTCGACGTGGTAATTATGAGTCGATGAATGCTTACTTAAATAATATTGACTGGAACTCTTTATTAAGTGATACGTTAGATTTTTCTGTCATTGTATCTAATTTCTATTCAGTTATTCATGATGCAATTAACTCGATTATTCTTAAAACTTATAAACATAAAAACCAGTACCCTCAATGGTATAGTAGGGAACTAAAATCTTTAATATACAATAAAAAACGTTTACATAAAGAGTTTAAGGTTACAAAAGATCCTCATATCTACAATGAATTTTCGCGATTACGTAGTTTATGCAAACGGGAGTCTAAATTGAGTAACTTGTGCTATTTACAAAGAATCCAATCTAACCTTACCTCTGATCCAAAGTCCTTCTGGCGATACATCAATGGTTTAAAAAACAATAATTCCGTACCTCAAACGGCTACAACTCGTTTGCGCACATTTACCTTTTTTACAACTCGTTTGCGCAAAAATACACAACACGATTGCGCACATAAATTTTGGCTACCTGTGACAAAAATCCCCAATGTCAGAACTCATTTGCGCACACATTTCCCTTCTCACTTTAACAGGCTTAGGACTGTCTGTTTCAAACTTTTAAACAGGCGTGATTAAAAATGTATGTGTGTGTGTGTGTGTGTGCGTGTATGATATGTGTTACATAGATCATTATAACATCATAGGTCAATATAAAAATAAAAATAAATAATAATGAATAATATAAAATATAAATACAAAAATATTCTACAGTTAATATGAAGTATCGTCGTAATTATTATTATTTTAAATTAAATTTGTATGATGGAATTTATTTCCAATATTTTTTATATAAGTTAAGCGGTCGATAGTTTTATTTTTATATTTATTCCACATATCTTGTAAGTATTCTTCTTTATGTACAGTTTCCTTTCTTTTATAATTCATTACATTGTTTTGTATTGAGTTAATTTTCAATTTGAATTTGAATTTGAATTTGAATGAGTATATCAATGACTTGATGTATGTGTGGATGTGGTGTATAAAATTGGCTATTATAATGTTTATGGAAAATTTCTGCATTATTCGTCGTCTTGGGATTGCCATTTGGTTCACAAGCCCATAAGATTGGTAGAAAATTGCTATTAGAGTCTATATAATTTTCTAAAATATAATCTGAGAATAAAGAACTAACTGCAGTACCAGGTGCTACCGCCATAAGATCTGTAAAGCCATCTGAAACTTCATTTGGTGGTAAATAACTTAAACCATAAAAATACTTCATCCATCTTCCAATTTCCGAATCTTTCAAGTACTCAGATAATAATATTTTATTTTGCTGTATTTGCCTGAACCAATTTTGTCCTAAATGAAAGGTACAATCAAAAATTTTACATCGAGGAAAAATTTGCAATACCGCATTATGCGCTGCCTTTTCAAAATCAGCATGAAAATTGATTACATTAATTTCTATCCCCGTCATTTCTAAGCATATATTGTTTAGTGATTGCCACATATTTTGTATGTAAGTATTTGTATGCAGTGGCGTGGCGACAAGATTTTATAGTAGGGGCGAATACATTTTTTTGGTACCCACCCACGTCTCACAGATTTGTATATCCCCCCCCCCCCCATATTTTTATTACAAACCTCTAAAAAAGTTATTGTTTTTATTTTTATTATTAACCAATTCTAAATAATTATAATAATAATAATAATAATAATAGTAAATAAGAATTCTAGAATAGTATACTGCAGTTGAATGACAAATGTCATAAAGGTAAATTAATATATTATTTACCCTTAGATATCACCCACTAACATAAGCACCCACCCACCCCTGGGTTGTACTAGGGGCAGTTGCCCCAAAAAATCTACTTCGCCACGCCACTGTTTGTATGCTTGTTACGTAAAAAACAATAAGCAAGGGGTACATAAAAATTATTTTGAAAAACGTGGATCGTATAAAGTTGGACAAAATGATTAGGGGCAAATGAAAAAGTTCCATCCCCAAACACGTGTTCAGAATATTTAAGTAATTCCAAATTTTTTTCACAAGTAAATATAAATATGTTTTTATCATCACCGAGAAAACAAAATTTATTACCTTGGTATTGAATGTCATTTTGCATGTTGATCAGTTGATTTCTTGCGTCTTCAAAAGATTTTGGTAAATTTGGATAGTGTTTTTTTCTATTTTCATACATTGATCTTCGTAGCAATTTAACATCACTGTGTTCTAAATTTGTTGTAAAATTCTCTGTATTTAGTAACTCACGGCAAATTAATTTGTTTGATTTTATGTACAAATCGTTTTCTGCACTACATTTAAAAGTACTTCTGATTATTTCTCTCGTCATTGTTCGATTATTATACTCTTCATGATTATGAGAGTTGGTTACTTTTATTATTTTATTTAATTTATTAACAATAACACTTGCAGGACATTTTTTATTAGAACATCTAAAATTAAAATTTCCATTCGTTAAAACACGATACTCACTAAATTTATATTTGTCAATATTAAAACATCATTTTCCTCGCCGAGTTTTAAAAATATTAGAAATATCTACGTCCACAATAAATAGTTTGCGTCGTCCAACACACTAGCCACAACTGTACTGAAACTGAACCATACATACTAAAACTATCCTAAAAGTAGTTTAGAAAATCCAAAATGATATAATCTACACGACTACACAATCACAATGATATAATCTACACTTATAAGATAATATTGCTATAAGATATTTGATAATTTGTACTTGTGTTGTAGTTGTGCGCAAACGAGTGATCTATTTTCAGGTAAATGACTGATTTCGTCGTGCGCAAACGAGTCGTCGATTTTCAGGTAAAAAATTTCTAATGTGCGCAAACGAGTTGCAGCGCCTCAAACTATGATGTTTGAGGATAAGTCATCAACAGGTGGCCCTGAGGTCGCTAATCTTTTTAAAGAATTTTTCAGTTTGGTTTATTATACCAACAAATTGAATATTGGTGAATGTCTTGGTTACTCAAAAAACTATGCAGATATATACCAGGTACAACCATATATTACATTCACTGTTAGCGAGATCTTTGAAGCCATTTATTCTTTAGATTTAAATCCATGCCCTGGTCCAGATGGTATTCCAAATATGTTACGGCCATGTATCTTTTCGTTATCTGTTCCCTTATGTATATTATTTAATCGTTCATCAATTGTTGGCTCTATCCCCTCCCAGTGGAAAACCAGTTTTATTACACCCATTTGGCCATTTATAAGTCTGGTAACAAAAGTTTAATAGCTAATTACAGACCGATTGCAAAACATTCATCTTTACCAAAATTGATAGATGAATTAGTGTCTAAAGCATTAACATTTTCTTTTAAAACCATTTTAGATGATAACCAACATGGATTTAGGAAAGGGCATTCTGTGGAAACTAATCTTTTCTGTTTTTATAATTTCTTGGTAAATTCTATGAATCCGGAATTTGGACGGACGTTATTTATACAGATTTCAGCAAGGCTTTTGATTCAGTTAACCATTCAGTGTTAACTACAAAATTAAAGACATACGGCATATCTGATCATTTGTTAACTTGGATTAGTTCTTACTTAGTGAATAGAGTTCAACAGGTGAAAATAAATGGTTTTCTATCAACTAAAATACCAGTACCATCTGGTGTTCCCCAAGAGGGGGCATTTATCACCACTGTTATTTGCATTATTTATTCTGGACATAGGTGCCTGTTTCAAATACTTTAAATACAAACTGTTTGCTAATGATCTCAAAATGTATGCAAATGTCGTCACAATTTATGATCATTATAAAATTCAAGATGACCTAAACAGATTTTGTGATTGGTGTCAATTAAATTGGTTAAAACTGAACACCACCTATAAGTGTTTCAAAATGTCTTTTTCCCGTTCAAGTACCAAAATAATTAATGTCTATCATCTCTTTGAAAACCACATTGAGGATATTAGTATTAATAATGATCTTGGGGTGGTTTTTAAAACCGATCTATCATTCAAGTCACATGTCGATCATATCTGTACGAAGTCCTTAAGAACTCTTGGCTTTTTATTTAGGAATACCAAAGAATTTAGGAACGAACAGTGTCTTTCAAACATACCTGTTGAAACAAATTCCATTCAAGATTTAAACCAAATAGAACTTGACAAGTATTTATCATTGTCAAGTGTTGGTTTGCATTGTAATCCTTTACAATGGTAGAAAATATTCCATTCTGAATTTCCAACATTGGCAAAATTAGCTATGAAGTACTTGTGTATACAAGGCACAAGTGTACCAAGTGAACGGATTTTTAGTTGTGCTGGTAATTACCGATCACCGATCCACATCATTGTCTCCAGAACATGCCGAAGAGTTAATTTTTTTGTCTATGAATGCCAAGAATGTTTCTAATAAGTGACTTACTCACTGTGACATATAGCGCACCTACACAAATAACTGCTGTAACGTTGTTTTTTTTTTAAATTGTTATTCTTTCGCAAGGCGCGACATTGTTATATTATTTCTTTTTCTTTTTTTGTTAAATTCCTAAATTAATCTTTCAGTAATTAAAATTGTAATGATCATAATAAATATATATATAAATATTTCTAAAAGTTGTCTTACTAACATGATATACTTGCAGGTTGGATGATTTACAGGGAACTTTTTTATATTCCTACTCTCAATAACAACACACATTAACTTAATTTGAAGTAAACAATAATAATTATATGTGCAAGTTTTAGTGCTTGCTGTTTTCCAGTATCAATGGCAATAATATAGATTATAATATTATGTATACTATACCTAATATAAAGACATAAAGTATATTAAACTGTGAAACAATATTAAATAAAAAATATCGATACTAGTTGGATTTTATTTATTATTTCGGTATACCTTACCATATCGGTGTTTAGGTATACCGAAACAGTTCGGTTTTTCTGTATACCGTTTCAAACCGATATTTAAATCAATACCGTAATACCAAAAATTATTTTCGACACCGTCAGCCCTAGCCTTTTAGTATGTCATCGCGAATCAATCACGCACGATTTAATTTAATAATAATCCTCATAACATGTCATTTGACAGCTAAATGAACTAATTAAAGCTGGTTTTTACAATGTCCGTTTAAGTGTCCGTTAGCTTTAACCGGACATTGTAGGAACTGCCCTAAGAGTTTATTAGGTTATGTTTTTAGTTGTTTCAAAAATATTGCTTAAATGACTTTATTTAGATAAATCCAAATTATAACTTAAGTATATAAATAATTACCATTTACTTATACGGATAAAGTGATAACTAAGTAACAGCCAATAGGTATTACTGTAGTCAATTTATAATCTTTAAATACAATTATTGAAAAACATAATTGTTTAATCCTTTCATACTTGAAGAATGAAACATCATAATATGCAGTTATTATTATATTATTATATCAAGTTACATTATAATCTCAAATATTATATTATCTCATATATTATCAAAAATAATTATTAAAGATAACCAAGTTAAATTGATCACATATTTTAAATTCTTACACTTTACAGGCAAATGCCAGATACTGGGTGTCACTTAGAACAACTCGTAGGAGACCTACAATTAATGTCACAATTATTTAGAAATAATCACAAATGTAATTCATTTTTTTTAAAGATATAAACGGTGTTTTACCATCAATTAATAAATATTATTTTGAAAAAGAATCTTTTTATTTAATAAAACAAGTCCTTATTCTAACATAATGATCATGTACAAAAAAAAAAAAAAAAATGAAATGACTGTCCTTAATTATATGATTAAAATGTCAGAATTATTATACACCATCTTTTTCAAATAGTTTTAAAAATAACAAATAAAATTGTAAGATTCATGTATAAATGATACATTAAGTGGTAAAAACAAAATTCATTCTTTTGGAAAAAAAATTAAACATGATTACTTATAAGTTATAATCAATAACTCTGACATATCTTTCTTTTTTATGTATTTATAATAACAAATAATATTAACACTTAAATATTTGAGAAAAGAAAATATATTTTTATTGTGAAGCAATTTTAAAGTATTTATGGCATTCTTGATTGTAGACATTATTAACTGGTCTCATACAATACATGAGCAATGAATGAGATAATAACCACAGAATAGATGAAATATCTATATATATATATATCTATTCTGTGGAATAACTACTGTCATAACAGATAGGTAGAGAATATTGATAAAGGTCTGTTGTATTACTAATGACTAATGAGAGGTATTTTATTGGTGAGTCCATGTTGAATATAGGCAAGTAGCTAAGATTACTCTGAGAAAATAAAGGAATATTGTGAGGATAATGTCCGAGTCTTGAACTGTTAATGTATTGAAATGAAGAGGCCAATAATAACAACCATTGCATTAAAGTAAATTTGATTCGGCAAGAAAAATAATATAATTAATTTCGTTCATAACGATTGCACGTGTATGTTCATCAAATTCTCTTAACTTCATAGCGAGTTGTTCGCCAAACAAATCAAAATCATCTTTCACATGTTCAGATGAAATAGTTTCCATGCTTTCATATGAATCTTTCATTTGTTTTTCAATGGTTCCCATAGTTGTCAATTTATGTTTACTGTTTTCTCCAACTCCAAGAGATTTGAGAACAAATTCTGAAATCAAATTTACCGCATATTAAAAGAAGAGTTAACTCATACACTTTCTTATTCCTATTTCGCTTTTTACAACCATTCAATGTGATATTAAAAAAAGCATTTGAATTATATTTCACAAAACTTATTTACAACCAAAGTTAACAAAGTAAATATAATGAAATGTATAATTTTTTTAGTTAAAAACTAAGGTAGGGTAGTTCAATATAACCTAGTATTTATAAACACTGTTGTAAAGTAGTGGTTCTTAACCTGTAAATTGCAGCCCCGCAATAATATCAATACATGTGTGTATAGTCTTATATAAATACTTTAAATATACATAGACACATACTAGAAATTTGGTAGCCTAAACCGTTTAAAATTATCCAATATACCTCAGTAAAAAACCTATTTCTACTCTAGTGAGCATTTAGAATAGAAAGAAAGAAACCGGTCACAAAATAAAGATTCCGATCTCTGGTTAAAACTATCTAGTATCAAGCTTGAAATATTGAAACTTGTAGCAGAAATGTAACATCAGCCATAGCATTAAATAATTAATTTTTTTATTATGTGTATTATTATTTATTAATGAAACTTTTATGTAGTTTGTACTCAAAAATAAAGTTTTGTGTAATAAACGTTCAAATTGAATTGCTTTGTGTGAAAAAATTTGCTTATTAAAACAATATATTTTCATTTCTAAACTCGGAGTCTGTGAGTTCAAAGATAAATTTTACAGAGATCCGCGAGCAACAAAGGTTAAGATAAACCATTGATGTTAAGTATTTAAGTAAAACAACAATTCAATATTTTTATTGGTATCAAATACACCGAAGAAAAAATAATGACAAACATAGACACATATAGTACATACCAATGATTGAATATTATGTGCTGGATTTAAGAGCTTAGGTAATGTGAAAATCTTACAACACGAATGCACTAATCCAGAATGCAGCATGCGTCTTTTTTATTCACATGCACGGCTTAAGATAAAATGTTGTCAAATTATAGGTAAGTGATAATAATATTAATATTATCATCTAATCACGACATCATGATAAGCGAGACCTGACGTCAGCGGCCGCGACCAGCTCTCGACAATCACTTTTCAATTCATAATTGAATACTTCGATCCTTTATTTTGGTAATATTAATTATGCTTTTTAAATAACTCAGTATCTTTAATCTATTATTTTTCGATACCGTAAATCTAAAGACTAAAAGCCGACCAATCATTAAATTTCACAATTTTCAACGAACTTGTTGCATTGATTAATTTTATGGCCTCAACAAATGCGCATATATTTGAATGAGGAATTCTCACTCCTCACTAGAAATTGAAATAAATATTAAAATAATATTATTAGTGCGAATAGTTTCCATACGAGTTGTATTAAAATCGTTCCAAAAAAATGATAAGAACAATGGTTGTCACATTTAAAAACCATATTATTTTAAGCTGAGATCTGTTGCATTTTGTATCTATGATTGACATAATTTATATATAACTCTCGAAAACAGAACGTTCAGAGTCAGAATCAACACCAGACTATCAACTCACCACGAAGTTCAAGCTGGCGTTCCGTAAGGCAGCGACATCGCCCCATTTTCTACATTTTTTACACTGCTGATATCCCAGTTAGTCAGTTCACTCTCATTGGAACTTACGCCGATGACACAGCCATACTTGCCTCAAGTGTTGACCCTATCTTTGCCAGCCATCAAATCCAAACCCACCTAAACATCCTTATGCCTTGGTTCAACAATTGGCCGTGAATTGGGGAATTAAAATCAATGAAATCAAGTCATCGCATATAACCTTTTCCTTAAGACCACATGACTGTCCGCCGATCATCATGAATAATTCCACTATTCCTCATTGCACGAGTGTCAAATATCTCGGTCTCACGTTTGAAAGAAAACTCACTTGGGGTCCTCATCTCAAGGACAAACGAAAACAATTAAATAGTAGACTTCACCTACTTAGACCTTTACTAAGATCTAACACCAACATTCAAAACAAAATCCTTATATACAAATGCCTCCTCCGACCCTTATGGACCTACGGCATCGTACTATGGGGCCCAAACAAAAAATCAAATGCAAACACGATCCAAACATTCCAATCAATTTGTCTACGTATCATTGCCAAAGCTCCATGGTACGTAACGAACAAATTACTCCATGATGACCTCCAAATCAAAACCGTCCACGACACAGCCACCAATTTCTATAAAAGATTTCATGGGAGACTCCTCACGAACCACAACCACCTCATCTCTTAACTGGCCTCAAAAACTCTCCCAGACAACCCCACAAGACGTCTCAAACGCAACTGGTGCAGAGATCTGCTTAACCATTAAAATACATTTATATAAGTCATAATAATTTTTTTTTAAATTCTTTGTAAAAGGTGACTCGACTGCGACTCTTCCTTCATGTTACTCAAAGTCATTTTATATAATTCTTATATCACATTTACTTATTGTATATAATGTACAGATTGTAAATTTTCAATAAACGCCATAATTTATAAAAAACAAATTTATATCGAAAAATATGATTGTACAAGATCTGCTTGACTGCATCTAGTGCATTTTTTATCTTTACCATGAAATTGGCACAACTAATTATAAATATGCAACCTAGATGTTGGTATATAAAAACTATCGAAAAAGTTAATTTATTTTCTATCAAGGAGCTGAAGAGACCTGTTGCTTGCCATTTGGATATGTAATTTACGCGTTTTTGATTTTTAAGGCGGAATGATTGTCTAACCAACTTCATAGGCTAGTAAGCTTACTGGGACGGTAAGTGGAATTTTCAAAATGTCAACATTTACTAGGAAAAGGAATAATTTGAGAACACTATAATATCGTGATTTAAATCCTTAAGTACAAATTTCAGCTTTGATATTGTGTATGCATTATTATTGCTTCGGACGATAACGACAGCGCTATCTATCGGCGTTATTCTGGGCTTCAAATTTTGCACCTGACAAACCGCCAACTTTACTTATTTTCGACGCTAGATTAAACTGTATACCTTTTTTTGTTTTGTATTTATTTTTTTTATATGCTAATTGATGAGGTTTTTGATTTGTGACAGGGTGGTAAGGTAACCTAACGATTTTGATTCATGTTATTAATTGACCAAATTTATTTTTATAGGTATCCTAAAAACTGATAATGTGATAATAATTCCTAACAATAAAATAATAATAATAATAATAACAATTTAAGTTCATTGAATAAATATTGAAATAGCAAAATCCGTAGGTATCCCAAATTAGAGTCAAAGTGGTCAAGTACCACAGTTTTGTCAGGCAACATAAATGATAAAATGTGGTTCTTTTATATCGTTTTGACTGTTTTGAGTAGATTTGAAATGACGTGACTTACGCGCACGGATTCGTATATTTTGTATTGTCATGTGCTAAGTGCAACGAAGAAAATAAAAAATAAATTATTCATCTGATTGGAGGGTAATAACTAATAAGATTTCCATACTAAACTCACTCGTATATTATTTTAATCGTTGACCCTTGAAAGTAAGTACCTAGGTTGGTACTTTAAATTTTCGAGTAGTGCGGGGCGGGTGGCTGGAGTGCAATGCTAAACCTGGACATTTATTACAATAATTACATACTTGTAATAGCATTCGACTCGTTCATCGACCAAAAAATAATAATAATATAATATCATTACTCTGATCATTAAAAGAAGCGATCGCAAATCAATTATTGTACACTCTTATGTTTTGTCTAAAATGTTTATTAATTTCAATGTCACTGTACAATAACTCTGATTGACACTCGTCATGGTTTTCAGGATAGTTAACTTTACCGTGGTGACAGCACGTGTACGCTGATCCCCCTTTTTCATTTTTAATAGACGAAGCATAATATTGACATATTAAATTGATATTTTTCTGTCATACCACTGTTATTGAAGTGTTCAGGCTCATCTGTTTATATTACCTCCTTGATTTCTTTTCGTGATACTCTTCGTTTATTTGTTAGATTTTGTTCTTTTATAAAATCGCACAAGCACGGTGTATATCATACATCTTCAGTACGGCTGTTCATAACTGCGTAAACAATTCATAACAATTTGCAAATAATATTAGTCTCCTGTAGGCAGGTGCCTATATACGTTTGTTGATTTCCAGCTGCCCTGTCTGCGAATCGTAAAAATAGTGTTGTTTTTTGGACGCAATAGACAACGTCAAAAGTCCTTGAAAATGTCACTGAACATGTCCTTGCTGGCATCGTAGAACAGCTTGCCATGTTGAGCGTCGAAGTTTCTGGTGTCGACGGTGTCGCTGATTACCGGCACGTACGGTGGCATCAAGCGCCTGTCGAACGCCGCACACCAGTCCATGTCACCGAACCACCTGTGCTTCTTGATGTCTCGGATACCGTTCGCCAGGTTCCCGTACCGCCTGGTCACGTCCACATTGAGGATGTTCCGCAACAGGTTGATCACATCGCCCGAGAAGCCCAACGGACAGCTGTACACCCCGGTCACGATGTTACTGAACAGCTTCCCAGTGTCACGATCTATGAACGGCGAACGGTTAGCCAACATCTCGTACAGGAGAACCCCGAGCGACCAATAGTCCACCGCTTTTCCGTATCCTGCAAAACGGAGACGACCACCACAAAATAATACGTTACTGCGCATAAGGTCAATAACTTATATTAGAACATCATATATAGTAAGTAGGAATATGAATCCAAAATCAAAATTATGCATAGTGTGCAGGATTCGAGGAACTGATTATCGATCACGTCGGTATAATATATTATACATTTTACCACGATAGTGGTTTTGCGAACAGTCTTAAAATTAAATTGTTCACTTTTGATTTTCAGAACGGTTTTTAAATTGTTCGTTATCTGGTAAGGTGCAGTAATGTAAATTGTTATGGTAATTTTTTATTCGGCAAAAATATTATTATGATTTTACAGTTTTATTAAAGGCTATAGTTTTAAATGGTATACCAAAACTGTCTTTAATATTAGCTACTATATTTTTAACATTTGTAATTTATAAAACAAATCAAAAACTTTGTAGACGTAGGTATTTATTCATTTGTATAATACAATTGTATTATTAATTGCTTTTTAAATTACTTACTAGAAGAGATTTAATGAATTTTATAACGTTCAGAATATTATAACAGAAAAAATGTAATAACTGCTTATGTAGATATAGGTAGAGAGGTTAGGTTAGGATACCTACTTATAGGTCGTAGTTAACTGCATTAACAAAGTAGTACTAAATTAATTAGCATAATTGCCGGTGATTAAATATCTGCTCGCCGTTAATTTTAGTAAATTAATACATAGTTCTTGTAATTAAAACAAAAAATAACTCGTAATATAAAGCTGCAGAATAAATTATATTATTTTTATATTTAATAGGTATATTCTTAGGTATACTCACTGAATTTGTAATATATACCCACCACAGTTAAGTTGTTACTTATCACAAAACTGTAAGTCCATACCTACTATAGTATTTTTTTTTTTTTTTTAGGGAACCTCATCGGCAACATAGACCATTGGGTGTGGGTGGTAGTCTGGTGTGGTAGGGTTTTTTTTGTATATTTTTTGTAATTTTTTGTAGGTTTTTTTGTGTTGGTCGGGTTGTAACGCTTGTCTGTGTATGTGTGGGCGTGTGGCAAGGATATGTTGCTAAAATTCCCGGGTGGTCATCCATACGGGAGCTAGCAACACCGGCCGGTAATTACGTTTCTGCAGATTGAGTACGACCTCGGCACCTCGCCACACCGAGTCACTACTATCAATTATCATGGTACTATATTAAAGTGTAGGGTGTAGCGTACTTGGCTTGAAAGAATAAATAAGAAGTTAGATAGGTAATTAATTGGCAAAATCAATCTGAAATCTAAAATCTAAATAATACCTTCTTTTCCACGATGTTTTTACTGTTCTACATTACAATAACAGATAGGTTAATATTTAGCATTATATTATATTCAGTACCAGTATAACAATAACCTAACCTGTGAGGAAAAATAGGTGTTTCAAATATTGTTTAGGAAAATTTGAACTTCAAATGCTTAGAAAAAAAATCTTGAGTATGTATTTTTAATATTTTTCAACTGCTTTTGTAACAATATATCAAGAATCTTGCATTAAATTGTCATGCTTTTTGACACAACCAATAAAAGATAATTGATATAATAATTAACTATAAAAATAATTAATTAATAAAATATCCTATACTGACATATCGTCTCGGCTCAGAATCGTTTTCGTATACATTGACAACATATAATTGAATTAAAATTTAATATCATCCATTACAGTGTCCTTCTATATAGGCACCTAATGTACAGCAGAGCCACATCCACTTACCTGCTTTTTAAATCTTAGATGTAAAAAGAAAATTTTTTATGAATTCCTAATTCAAAGTAATTTGATGATTTTTGTGCTTTTTACGAATTTTGTCATAATTCTAAATTCAAACGTGCATAAAAATTAATTGTGGATTTAAGCTCAATTTGTTTTTTAAATTTCACTAACAAAAACTTACGAGGAACCTTTTATTACATTTTCAAGTTTTTTGATAGAGCGAAAATTTTTTTATCGACATTAGTTTAAAAAAAACAAATAATAATTGAAAATTTCATAAGCCTTTAAATAGTTCAATACTAGTCAAAATATTTTGAAAATTGTATGGTGTATACAGAAAATGCTAACACAAATATTCAGTGAAAATTTCATGTATCTATGATCATTTTTGTTAGTCAAACTGGTTTTACGTAAAATATCCCGTTTTCCTTAATTTTTTGTTTGTTTTTTCTTTCGCTTTTTAAAACTATTGGGAATTTTAAATTTTGACCTCCCAAATGCACAAAATAGATTCACTTTCCTACCAGAAAACTTGCTGTTGACGGAAATCGAAGCACTCGAACTGCTCCAAACCGTGATGTCAGACTCCAAAATAAATAAAAAATAAAAAAACACGCATCATTGTAAAATCAATACATTCATTGCTCCGCTCAGAATCTAAAATAGTGTGCTGTGTTTTGTTGTATATATCTCTGGTCTATACCAAGGTTTTGATATTTAGGTACTAATAACAATGATAACCGTCTTGTACATTATCATATATACGATATAACACTTGTAGATCAAACTATTGTTTACCTGCAGTATACCTATTTTAATAGTTTAATCAATTAATGGGTCATTACTCCTCACCTCGTCTGAGTATAATTTCCGGAGCCAAATATTCAGCAGTACCACAAAACGTGAACGTACGACCCTTAATGTGTTTACAAAACCCAAAGTCTGCCAGTTGAGCATGCCCGTTGACGTCGATTAGTATATTTTCGGGCTTGATATCCCGATGCACCAAGTTTAACTTGTGCAGGTATTCAACGGCCAGAAGAACTTCTGAAAAATAAAACCGGGCCTTGCCTTCGTCCATCGACCCGTGGCGTTTCATGTGCGTGTGAATGTTACCGCCGCACACGAACGGCATGACAAAGTAAATGAAACTGTGGTCTTGGTAGAAATACTCAAGGCGAATGACAAACGGAAAATTGATAGACTCCAAAATTCGTTTTTCATTAAGCATTCGCTGCACCTATAATATACGCATATATTCAGTGCTTGAATTGGAGGGTGACACGGGTGACGGAGTACCCCTTATTTTAAACAAAAAAATATTTTAACGTACCCTTTATTCTATAATTATATCCTGATCAACAAGAATTAGGTTAGGTTGATTAGGCTGCATTTTTTAAAATATTTTTTCACCCCCTTCTATTTTTTTTCCAATTTAGCCACTGCATATATCATGATATTTAACGGTATATATCTAATACGATCTTAAACCACAATTAACTTATTGTTATTGTAACATACTAACATATCAGATGCTATATTTATTATAAATATTATTACCATATACAGGTAGGTGTAAGCTATGTATGGGAACATTCCAAACATATAGCCCTCATAATATAGCTCGATATCCTCTTTTAAATATCTGTTGTGTGCAACGATTTCCCATTTACCTATTTAAAAATAGGGCTATAATGCGTATATCAATATGGATTATCGCAGATGACGGGAGAGACGAAAATATGTTGATTTTCCAAAAAAGAAAAGAATATACATGCATGCATGATACAATCATGGGTGTGTCTATAGACGATATAATATAATTAAAAATGTGACTTTAAAATTATGCAGTTATATTGAAAATATTATCCTCTTCAGATTTTGAGCTGTATAGTTGAAAATAATAGTTCTCAACTGGTGGTCCGCGTGGACTCGTCTAAGTGGTCAGAGATATTTTTTCTAGTGTTTATAAGTCACATGAATTAAGTAGGTACCTATTGATAACCTTAACTTGTATTTTTTTTTTAAACAAGTACAATTTTCCAGAGCATTAACTGTATCACTAATTTTATTGTGTACACGCATAACTCGTAAATTATTATGAAATTAGTGGTAGGGGTGTTTGAAGAGTGGAATTAAGTAGTGATCCGTGGTAGTGGAAAATGTACAATAGTGGTCTATGCCTAATGTTGAGTTGGAAACTACTGGTCTCTAGAGACAATACAAAATATTCTATAAATATATCGTATTCGTTTATAGTTGGGTTGGATGGTGTTACAGTTTAGAGTAAAATCTGTTGTAATATAATTTGGATAGTTGGTGGACTGTTGCAATTTTTAAATCTTTGTGTAGGGTTTAATTTGTTACGTACCAGGAAGCCGAGGCTTTCAGCCGAATAATGATGGACTGGGAGGTTTGAATGGTGTGGACTTGGGAAGGTTTGGCACATCCCCGATTCCCCGATTTGCATACAGGCATACAGCACTCCCAAATGGATCTGAGTAGAGACTTGTATAGTATGGATTTTGTGTGAATTGATAGTTAAGATTTGAAAATTGGTCTAAGCAGATGGGAGCAGATGTTAAGGGTTTTACTTTTGGACTTAAAATGTGGGCCTCAGGTTAGTATTTTATGAAATTCCTAAATATTTTATCTGAGCCGTTGTAAGAATCTCGACTCCTTGAAGTTGAAGTGAGGGAAGATTATTTTTCTGAAGTGTAAATGGCATATAGAAGGATTTAATATGAAGTTTGAATAGGTAATATTGTTAGTTGTTAGGTATATATATATATATTGTAAATGTGTAATATGGTAAATATGATATTGTATACGTAGGAGTGTATGGAGTAGGTAGCTATGGATATTTCTTTGTATATACAGAGGGTTTTATTACTAATTAACCTTACAAAAGCGGAAAATAGTTAAATCCAGTATCGACAATTGCAGTGTTGAAAAATACTTACATTGCGACCTTTAACGATTTTCTTTTTGGCAATTACTTTTGTCGCATAAACAGTACCAGTTGTATTGTGTATTGTCAATGCAACAGATCCGAAAGATCCTTCATCTAATATGGTTGTAACACGAAAGTCCGACGCTTCAGCTGGTGGAAAATTACTGTTTTTAAAGTAAATGTCATTAAAATCTTGTCTTTTTTGGTTCCAGAATTCGGTAAGGCCACATGACGATGTTTTACCGATCGACAAATCATTCCTGCTTTTTTTTTGTCTAAATGATACATTGCCCATAGCTTTTTTGAGAAAATAAAAATTGATTGTGTAGAATAAAATACAAAGGTAAGTAGGTTGTAGGAATAGGTAAATAATAATTTTGTATTAAATACAAAATAAATAGTTGTTTGACTTAATTGTTACTAAGTAATTTAAGTTTTTACTGTACAATAAACATGATGTGTTGAGTATATTATTATATGAATAGTAAATAATTACATGTGAATGGATTATTAATCATTTGATAACAAATTCAGAACTGAAATTCTGTCTCTCAGCGACACGTTCCTCTTCCGTGGTCCCATTCCAACTCGTTGCTCGAAAACTTGACCAGCTATCTTCGTTTGTCTTTTTCATGCGGTTAAACCTGACTCAACATCGGGCCAGTTCACCACCGTTGCCGACCCGTGACTGTGCTCGTGATTTGTAGATCGCACGTGACTAACGCTGTTAATCTTTTCTTACACCGTGCGAGTGTAGTGCACACGGCCATGGGCGTCCCCAGACATTTTTTTAGGGGGGGGGGGGCAAAATTAATTTAAAAAATAAATGAAAATTTTTTTATACATTTTATTTATAGTAAATTATTATATTTCGTCATTATTAAAATTATGAATTAAAACATTACAATTAGGTAGGTATTATTATAACAATTAAAACATAAAAAATATTATTATACATCATTCTTTTTCATTAAAAAACGTACAGTTACGATTTAACAAATCGATAAAATCAATATCTTGGCAGTCCTTATTTTGCCAAAAACTGTACCAACTTTCCACTTCAGCTTGGAGATTATCAATTTTATAGAAATCAGCAATTTTTTCAATGCTTTAAAAATACATTTTTTTCTCCAATTTCTTAAAAATGTTGGGGTGAAGATATTGTAGTAAAAATGCATTATCATTTTTTTTATCAAAACGTTTTTTTATAGATTGTAAAATTGAATCAATATATGGTATAAAAATTGAAACTCGGTAATAATCTTCACAACTCTCAGTTTCATGGTTCGCTCTTAGTGACTGTTCTCGCTGCGACAGAGCTTACGATATATCTGCAGTTTTCTGCCGCAACTTGCATCGATGGTATACAAGGACCGGGTGACCAACTTATGAATATATATAAAAACAAATGCTCAGGTTCCAATATAATAATATCACTGCCCACGCCTAGCGCACAGGATATATATATTACATGTAAATTATATGTGAACAAAGACGTAATAATAATAATATGCGGGCGCCCAACGTATTTGAATACAAAATCATAAAATATAAGAATAATAATTGGGCGTATAATAATACAAATTCCTGGTATATGCGCTTATAATATAGTAATCTTCAATGCCACAAGTATATAAAAAAATGTATATAATAAGAATTTAATAATAATAATAATTGGGCATTATGGTAGTAACATACAACTAATACAGCTTTACTGGCCACTAAACACGAGTTGGACAAGAAGTGTGAATACAGTAAAAATATAACCTGAAGGCGACAGCACTGGATGATCTAGGCGATATGGCCCTCTGACGCAGACGACGACTGCAGTTGACGATGGCAACCTTAGCTGGGCATACTCGATGACAGTTCAAAGTGGCAAAATTGACACCTCATGCTCACATGAGGTTTCGTATGCGACACGCAAACGTACACGGTGATCGAGCACGTTGCTCACAGATCAACCGTTGGGAAAAGACAAAAGCGCCGGGCTGTCTAGCGGCTCGGCCATCGGCTGATGAATTGTCACCAGACAGCGGAGGGGGGAGCTTGCCGGATGCAGCTTATCTTTTGCCACACCTGTGATATCCCGAGGCGACAATATATATAATTTGCCAAAAGGAAAAACCGTTCCGCGATCGAACAGTGACTGTTTCTTTACCGTTCTTGGACGTGTAATGACAATATCTAAACCAATGGCGATTGATTTCCCTTCGTTAAATAATGTTTGGAAAATGTTATCAGCGTCATTTCGATGATTATCGAACAATATTAGTAATGAATTAATATGCTCGCTGACTTTATATAGATCTACTGAGACGCCTTGTAAAATATTTGTCACAGGTTCTAAAATAGCACTGTATTTTGCCATAATAATCATAGAAATAAAGAATGATGAATTTGAGACCGCAGAATATAAGTAATGAGCTCGTTGCCTTGTATTGGAATTTGAATGTACTTCATTATTTGATAATGAATTCAAACTTGTCATTATTGAAATAAAATGTTCTGAAAATACTCTTATACTCTTATATTTAGACGACCAGCGTGTTTCACAAAATAGTGGTATGTTAGGGATAAGTTTTCTTCTAAGCGTACTTTCACGGAAAAATCTTATAATATCTTTTATAGTTCCAGTACTATATTACGAATAATCATTATTTTATTTAAATCATTTATAACTAAATTTAACCTGTGATTAGAACAATGAAAAAATAACGCTTTGTTATATTTATCACGAATAAATTTACTAACACCGCCTTCTTGTCCAGCCATTGTAGCACAACCATCATATCCTTGCCAATAAAGTTTGTTTAAATTTAAACCACAGTCAGTCCTAAATGATATAATGTTTGTAGCTATAGATTGAGCATTTAATTTGTCTAACGGAGTAAAACCTAAAAATTCTTCCCGAATTTTTGGCGGATTTGAGTGTTTGTCTAAAAATCGAATTCCTATTGACAATATTGTTCTGTTCCAGAAATATCTGCAGTTTCGTCAGCAATAACAGAAAAAGCATTTGCAGCGTTAGCTAAATTAACTATATCATTTTTAATTAACTTTCCACATATAGAAATGATTTCATTTTGAATTCGAGGTGATGTATATTTGGCATTTCCCGCATTCTCCGGTATATGTTTTTGTAATAATTCATCACCTGATTCAATCCGGAAAAGTAAAAGATCATTAAATATGCCTGAATTTGATGTTTTTCCCCGTAGAGGAAGATCATGAGTTGCACAAAACAAAATGCTTGAAATTATTGGTTTTAATTTTTGTCTATTATATTCTATTTGTTTTCGTAACCCTGAATTTGTCTGTTCAAGAATATTTAATTTGTTACCCTTCATAATATTTAAAAAATCATTTGCTCGTGCTGTTGACTCAAGATGCCATTGTGAAGATAGATGGGTTCGACTACAAGCATGGAAATCTTTATATTTTGTGAATGGTTTTATTATAAACCCTCCTTGTATACCTCTGTGAATATTTGGCTTAAATAATACACATACTCTACAAAAAGCTCCTTTTACGCCTCCAATAGCCGAATATGATAGCCATGTATTATTCTCTTCCAGCCTTATGTGCCTAAATGGACGACCATTTTCCAATTTTAAGATCATTTTTAAAATTATATGAAGTAGTTGGTACCCACGGATTACACAAAATATCGAACTTTAAAGCATCGTCAATTTTTACATTTGCCAAGTAGTGTCCTATATCATTTTTATAATAAGCCACTTCCTTGTCTTTAACATTTTCAACTTGGTCAGTAAAACTACCACCTTTACTCAAGTTAGTAATAGCAACTGTACTTGTGGAATAAGTCTCTATAGTCATACTTTTTGTATTATCTAACGGTCCATTAAGACTATCGTCTAATTTAGGTTTTTCAAAAAAGTTCCGTATGTCCATAATTAATATTATAAAAAGATTTTACCTTGTCCGCTTGTCGAAATTTGTATATTTTATTTTTGAGAGAACGTGATGACACTCGTTTCGATCAAAAGCTGCGTTGGAACTAATAGGACTATAATGGGAGTACCCGCGAGCCGCGTATAATAATAATGACAGGTCACAGGTATATTATCATGTAAGTGACACGATAATATACATAATGTAACAGCAAACAGCTAATAATTTATTGCCATGTGAGCACTCAAAAAATACATTAAGATAAAATAGTCCGATTATTATTAATGATAGTTTTCATAGATAGCCGTCAGCCGTGCGTTGACATAATATGTTATGGAAACTTAGTAGACCAATTTTTAGAAACTAATTTATCATTTGGAATTTTACCAATTTCTGTGGAAATAACATTATTCCGGGGGGGGGGCAAGTGCCCCGCCTTGCCCCTCCCCTGGGGACGCCCATGCACACGGCCATCGCCCATTTGCGCCGAAAAAATTAATTCGTTTTGGATACAGCCAATTTGCGCCAAAATCAAAAAGGTATGTTTTTTCAGACAGCCCATTTGCGCCAAATTTACCAACGTAAACATTTTAAGTTAACGACTTGGTTAATTCTTATATTTTAAAAACGTCATATCTGTAACTTATAGTAAACAATATGTAAGCACTATTAACTGTTATTACTTATTTGCTATAAATTATAATAGTTCGTAATAATTTATTACCTATAGTTTTTAAAAACAATTTGTATTTATTCTGATTATTGTTTCAAAAAAATGCGTATTATACAGCTAGGTATTATTGATTATTATTCTAAAAACATTCGTATAATTAATTATGATTTAAATAAAATTGTATATAATAAAAAATATATTACTTTATTATAATTATACATTTATACCAGTTAAAATTGGCGCAAATAGGCTGTCCGAAAAACATACCTTTTTTATTTTGGCGCAAATGGGCTACACGCCTATACCCAAAACGAATTTATTTTTTATTATTATTATATATAGAATAGAAAATAGATAACGGGATGGAAAATTATTTGTGTTCTTATGTTAGATTTTTATGATAGTTCAATTTTGAAGAGAGGTATGATCATTTTTAATTTATGCCATACTATATACGCATATAGGTAACTTTCTTAAAAAATTAATTCATGAATTTATCATTATTAATCAACTAATACTGTAATAAGTTGCTGCATTCATCATTCAAGTTCTATTATTATTAGCTCCATAACATAAGTTATTGTATTATTATGTTGCCATAATTACTTAATATTAGAAATAAACAAATAATTTGATTTATTATGTAGGTACCTAGTATGCTCTTATACAGTATACTTAATAGTATTACTTATTTGTTATAGTTTATTTAAATTTAAATTTATCTAGGATATTATCTGAAAGGTAAATATAGATTACTAATATATCTATAGCTATTATATCTACTATAGTCTATAGGTAGCTTTTATTAACTTAAATTATCCACAAGTGGAGTAAATTGGACATAATGTAATTTACTAGGTCGAGGACAAATGATAATGTAACACTTCTGTATTGTATGTCTTATTAAAATATTTTTTTAAACTTCTCAAAGGCTTTAAAAACCCAACTTAAATTCAATGTATGTTCTTGCTATGATTAATCTTTAAAAAAAAAATGAAACATACCTATAAGCATAAGTGCTTATAATTTTCAAATATGCTTAAAAATAACTATAGCTAAATGTGTTTTTGATATTTTAAAACTAATACAAGTACCTACCTTTTATTAGGAATCCTGTACAACATTTTCCAGCTTTTTGACAGAGCCTAAAACATTTGATCAACATTTATAAAAAAATTTAAAAACTTTAAATGCCTGTATCTTAAAACGTCTGTTAATAGTTTATGACTATAGTGGCGTAATTTGAGTTTTATAATAAAGGTGCTAACATTTAAGCAAGCCATTTTTTTTATTGCTTACCAAATTTATAATGTAACTAAGTTTCTATATTTCTTAAGTACTCAAATACATAACTAATTGTTTTTAAAATAATTCTAATACTTTAACTTGTCAGAAATGATCACTAGTTAGCCCAGGCTTGTATTTAGTGATGTATTGCTCAGGAAATTCATGGGTTTATAAGCTGTTTTAATGTAAGTTGATAACCAGGGGCGGCATTTAACATTTGGCGAGTGGCCGAGTGTAATTGGCTTTATTTTTTTCTGTACCCCATTTGCCTGATCATAAAATTTAGAAATGTACCAATGGCCAATGTATAAAGTTAAAATATATATTATGAAAACTATAATGCACAATGCAAATGATATAATAATATGAATGGAGGTAATTTATATTTATTATTTAAAGTATGCATGACAGAAGCTATTTTCCACTTCCAACATTTCCATTTTTTAATTTATTAAAATATTTAACCAAACAAGTATCAACCGCATACCTGCAAGTGTTCACTATAAGAAAAAAATGGATTGACAGTAAAAACAAAGAATGCTTAAATTTTGGCACCTCTTTTAATTTCAATTAACTCATCATTTTTCACTGTAAAAACCACAGAACAAAAAAAAATGTTCTCTCTTCCCTAAATCCTTATTTTAAAAAATTGAAAATTAGGTATAAGTAATTAATACCTACTTTAAGGCCGTTTTTTGACATTTCTTTTAGTAGGTACTCAATAAAAAAATCATGAACAAGAAATTTGTATGTTACATTATTATTATTTATTTGTAAGAGTATAAATCATAAGCATATTATGATGTGCAAGTACTTACACAAACACTTATAAATTATCTATTATTATTGCATAATATAAGACTTAAATATATGGCATATTTAGCATGTACAATATACCTATAGGCTAAAGTTATCTGGCTCAGTCGCTTATTGTTGGTTTGATCTTTGGTTCTCAAAATATTTTTTGACAATCACCAGATATCAAGAGAATTCAGAATACACCACTGTTTATAATATTATATTTATGATGCCAATAAAATATTGATATAGTTACACATAAAATCTCATAAAATAGAGGTGTAATTTTTTTTATGACTTAGGTATTTCTCTAGCATTAATATAGTGCTAATCCTTTATTTTATTACCATAAATTATTTTTTTGGCCGGTAAGCAATAATTAATAATAAAATATAATTTGAAATTTCAATATGTTATGTTTATAAATAAAAATGTCAATTATTATTCACCTCATTTATAATATTTTGACTCATACAGTCATACCTATTAGGTATTTAAGTATTCTATGGTTGATCAATTTTTTAAAAACTCACAAATATTAATTGTTGGAAAATATTTGTGATTAGATTAGTGTACTAAACAGTAAACATTTACCAACCTGAATAATAATTATTATTTTGTTTAAAAAATGTTTACAATTTAAAATAATTTTTTTTTAAATATATTACTAATCATAAGATTTTTTGTTTTTTATTGATAATTGATAAACAATACAATAATTTATTAAAAGCCAAAACACAATAAAAAAAATACATTTATTTTTTAAGTTGTATGTTTATATTGGTGTTACAAAGTAACATATCTATGTATTGGGTTATATAAAAAAAATGTTTAAAAAGAGTAAAAAAATACACATACATTGAGTGTTAAAAAATGCAAAATAAATACATATATTATATATTTAACTTATAAGTTAATACATCAAGACAGAATTGGTTTAGAGATTCTTAATTATAAATGACCATCTATAGCATATGTATTTTATGTAAAGTGTTCACATTTTCGTACAGATTTTACCAACTAAAAAGGTGATACAAATGTAAGAGTATAATTAATATAATAGTTTATCCATCCCATAGAGGAACCATTAGGAATGACGATGCTTAGGCTTTTTTCTCTTCAGCTATAACTGAAAAATTAAAATCATTAATAATTTAAATTATAAAGAATTATAGTTATAAATTTTCATTAGTATTATTTTATATTAGTATATAGGTAACTTAATAAAATAAGTAGCACAAATGTGAAATAATACCAAATGAATATTAGTAGGTATAGACTTTTTTTTTGTCAAATTTTAATTCTTACAATTCATATACAGTGAACAATAAATATTAATAATGTAACCAACTAAGTATTATTAAATTTAGGTACCTTCTTTAGTGGGCAATGGGTTTTTTTCTTCAGTTACTGTGGGTTTCAACTTTGCAGGGTCAAAGTTCTCAATACCGGCAATTAATTGTTGTTGTTCCTTTTCGGCTTCAATCACTAAAATGAAAACAAACAAATACTTTTTATTTTTAAGAATTTGTAGAAAACTATTCATATCTATATAAATATAAATATAAAACTAATTTAAATTGTATATATGGGTATTGGGTAGTCTATTAGATTGTTAGGTAAATACTCACCAGTCTTATCAGGAAGTGGATTTTTTTCTTGAGTCTCGGTGTGCTTCAATTTGTTAGTATCGAACCCACCAACGCCTTCAATGAGTGCTTCAGTGATGGCTTTTTGGCTTTTTTCCGCAGCAACATCTACAAATAAAAAATCTTATTACCTATTTAATCTAAATTATTCTTCCGTTTGTATGTATTGTTTAATATGGAACAAATACATAGGTACATATATTTCATTTTAACGTTCCATATCGTCTAAAACAGGTTAACATAATTTGTATTTAAAGTATTATAATATAAAGTAATAAGTATATACTTGTATGCATGCATTTTTAAGAAAAAGTTTGACATAAAAAATAGTTTGTAGCATGAGCACACTCACCTTGAGCGTTCGGCAAGATTACTTTTTCCAGAGTATCTGTCCTTTTCAGCTTGTCCGCGCTAAAGTTATTGACGCCATGGATGAGATCGTTATGTTGGCGTTCGCGTTTCACGTCTTTTTTTTAATCCAAGAAAAAAGCAACAGCAAGCAATTTAACATACTCATGGATTAGCAGAAAGCGTGAAAAATTCACATAACTATGAAATTTACACACATAAGCAACACATTTATATTAGCATTTGGCAGACTATTTAAACTTGTAAAGCCATTCAAAATAACTTTATGCATTGGCGTGCGCTAGGAATAAGTTTGCACTGCATACTCTGCAGTGACTCCGAGAAAAAACGAAAGTATACCTCGACTTGCTATGCAACACCACAAGTTGGTCACAATATTAAATTCGGTTCTGTCAAAATATTTTTCCGCAGAAGTACGGTTCGAATAAAATACCTGTCGGCTAAAATACGGTTCTTCCGAAATATTTGTTGGCAAAAATAAGATAATATACTGATAATATACTTCACTTGTCTACGTTATTATATTTCGGCTGAAATATTTTCGTCCAATTTACGAGCTCCCGAAACGCCTATATTTGACTACCCACTTAAAGCCTAAAAGTCTTTTTTCTTATATATTACTCAATTTTACATAATTTAAAATTGTGTTGGGAATATATTTTTGTTTCGTTGTCTTATATTCATTTCAAATTCGTTATTAGTGTTAAGTTATTAATGACTATACAATTTTAATTTCGGTAGTTTTAGATATGTCATAGAGACTCAAAAATATATCAATACCGATTACCGACTGATATAAAAAAAAATGGCCTTGGAAATAGATATTGAAAAATTGACAGACGAGCTCAAACCACATTCGATGAAAAGGCGACTTAAGCTTTATCAATAAATATTTTTTTATAAAAAGTTACGAACAAATAAATTGTGATTTAAATGATTTAATATACCTGCACTTTTTTTTAAAGGAACAGGCCTTTTTGCAGTTGGCTAGATTTTTTCATTAGGTTCTCACTAAAAGGCTATATTATTTGCATAACTTGCCAATAATCTAATTATGTGTGCCACGCCAATGACTTTATTGCTTAGGTTTCAAAGTAATATATCTATATTATATTTAACATGCTTTGAAAAACATTATGTACCTATAGCCAAATTTCAAATTTACTTAATAATAATAGATACTTAAGAGGGTGTTAGCTCACTACGCACCATTCGTTTTCACTCTTCGACCTATGCACATCATAGAAAATTTAAGTTAAGGAGAACCAACTCTGTGCTCCTGTGTTGTTACTTTTAATATTAGAGTGAATTCACCTATTATCAAACTTGAAATTAAGGACATTATACCTGTGTGGCTATGTCGTTACGTTCGCTTTTTTACGATATTTTAATTTCTATGCGTTTTATAAACATTTTAAAATTGTAATAATTTACAGGCTCGCAACTTAAATAAAAATATCATAAAATAGCTAACTTGACGACACGTGTAATGTTGTTAACTTAGAAGTTAAATAATTTTAATAATAGCTATCATTTTAAGTATAATATTAAAAGTAACAGTTTAGGGTTGGTTCTGATGCTCGTAAATTTGGTATGTTGCGCTTGGGTTAGAGAGAGAAAACAAATGGCTGAAAACATGGTGCTCTAACATCCTCTTATTATTATTTTATGAATAAAACTGTAAGAAAAAAAATTTTGCATAAATATACTAAAACAAATTCAAAGACAGAATTACATTGTTGGGAAATCTCACACAACACACTAAAATTTGTTTAGCAAGTAATTTAATAAATTAATTAAGTAATAGTTAATTTATCAGAAACGTAAAAGCTTTGATATTTTTTTTTTATATAAGACTTGGGACTCAAACGCACACTAAACTGATACAAGCATTTCATACGATAAATATAAGAAATAAATAATGATTTATAAATAGTATTAATATTTGATTAGTAATTACCTTCAGCAGTAGGAAGAATGATTTTTTCATTAGTATCAGCCTTTTTCATATTGTCAGGATTGAACCCTTCGAGTTGATTTTTAAGGTCGAATGCTACCTTTGGCAGATCTTTTAACGACGGAGAACTCATTTCTATAAAAAAAACATGAATAATATTAAATCAATAGTAGTATAATAGTGTTAATAAAACTACCCCGGAATAATACTAAAAGTAATGTATTTAAATTTTTTTTCGAAAGGGGTGATTCATGCAATGAATGACTCATTCTAAACGGAAAAAGACTCATATCCCCTGGGCATTGAGTGTTCATACCAATTAAATCGAGCACAAAATGTGCACACACTTATTCCAGTTTAACTCTGTATAAACTACACAGCGTACATAGCATATATTAGGTATGCGATATTATACCCACTACTTTTATAATTTAAAATGAAAATATTTTTTTTAGAAAATTATATTTTTTTCGACTAACTGTGTTAAAAATATATATATGATCTATTAATGTAAGTACAGTTATAATAAACGTATTATTACAACGGAAATAGAATCCCCCTAACGTGTAGAGATTGTGTTGAATACACATTTGTCAGTAAATAATGCATTTAACATTTGGGGATGCTGAGACATTATCGATCACGCAGGGGGTATCAAACTTGTAGGAACAATGTACCCACAACCCTATACAATGGCTACACATTTAAATATACACTATATATGTTGCGTTGCTATAAAATATAATATTATAATGCATTTTCTGTTGAATGACAATTTATTTTTTAAGTGCAAAAACGTGTTTTTACCAGTTGACATCAATATAAATCATTTAAAAACTGATTCATAGTTTTTTTACCCAGTCTATGTAAAATCATTAATCTGTTTTTATTTTTCTGATACAAATCTTATAAATACTTCATAATACGAAGAAATAAAATAGCTAATATAATTATTTATATCAATTGGCTACTACAAAAAAGTCAAAATACAATTAAGTATATTATTTAAAAATAATATTTTTGTACTTATTCGTATAATACAACAATTTATTACGTCACACAACCATTTTGTCAACGTTAACGTTATTCTAGTAAACGTATATCTTGCTAGTGTCGTGAACTATTATTCAATAAAAGTTATGTCAAAACAGGGTGTATCCGACCAGAGTCGACCGAGACTTGGAACCACTAGTAATTCGGGAACCCTACAGATTGATTCTATCTGAGGCCTGAGCATACAACCATAGAAGGGTAGAGCATCATTGCATGCCCTTTAATATGTTTATTCACGTGCGACGTACCCATTTCGATGAGTTAAAACCTCTTACCGAGTGAGCTTTACAAATATATTTATGGTATATCAATTTTGATAAATATTTTTTTAATAATATTTTAGGTTTTATTCGTTTTTAGATAAAAGTATTTTCAGGGCATCATTTAATTTGCAGATCCTGATATTACGTTTTATTATGGCCATTTTTGGGTACTCGTACGTTTAAATATATACTCAAGGCCAATGTTTAATATAAAAATTTGTCAATTTGTATAGAATAAAAAATTATTTATTTCCAATTTTACAAATTATAATAGTGGGTATAACGTATGTGTACGTGGCACGTCTAACCACTGTAACGTGGTATAATATTTCACTCTTGTATAACATATTAGTCACTTTAATAAATGGTGAACTTTATACAGACTCACATCAGTCACACGTAAGTTAATTTATTATAACTATTATAAGGTATATTTAACATTTTATATTATGAATCATAAATACTCGACTATAAGTAGGTAAAGTGGTAATTGATGATCAGCCATTTAGAAATTCCCAACATCGACATTTTAAATCATTACTAGTTAATTGTTGATATGGATCGGTGCATCTGTATTTAAATTGGGTCATTCACCCGAAAACGCATACAAGACACGGGCTTACTCTCAAGTAATTAGACTTCTTTTTAACAAAATTTAAAACTATACATATAATACCTAGACAATAAATAAATAGAATATTATTAAATTTGAAGACAATAGACAACATATGGACTGAAAATAAACTAATTAAAAATAAAAAATTCATACCAAATGTTTTTTTTTGGTTAGTACATAGATTATAATTAGGTATGATAAATAATTTAATTACAAATATCAAAAACATATTACTCGAACAGTCACAAAGTTTATTTTTTAATATAAGCTTAACACCATTTGCAGTTTTCGATCTACAGTTGTATATTAGAAAGATGAAACAGCTCGTCATTGAAGAAATACTGTGTGTATTAAAAATCATTTCCTTCTACGGTAAATAGGTCTTGAAACCAGTATTAGCTCCATGGTCTTTCTTTCTCTGTTAACCGTTTTTGCGACGCTATATTTTTTTATAATGTATTATTTTTAAAGACAATGATTATGTAGATGAGCCATGTAACCGTACATTTATCCCCATGGCTACCCATCCATTTGATGGTATAGGTTATCATAAACATCTAAATATGTACATTGTGTACTATATTATACTTTCCTCGAGTCCCAAAACAGATATTAGGTATTTATTAAAGACCAACAAGATAAATTATCAAAAACCAGATGAAAACATACATGGACATATTTTTTTTAAAAACGTCTGCAAGTATTACAGCTATTATAGTAATCTATGTATTAAAAAAAATGTTTTACCTACCTCAAAATAAAAAAAAAGAAAGGAGAGACATGTAGGGCACGGCTATTTACTATTGTTTACTATACGGTATTCGCTAATAAACTATTGTCATGTAAAGCAAAAGAAATATGTATTTTTCAAACAATAAAAATGGTGTACTTATTTCATCCGACGTATCACAGAATATCAAGCAAGCAAAAAAGAAGAACGTGTTAAATGTTAAAGATAATAATTCAAACAATGTTTTTTTTTCTTTTGAAAACGCGCTTTATATAGAACGTATCAATAAAATATAATATAAGTATTGAAAATTTACATTAACGGCTGTGTTATGGTCTTATGGCATTAAAAATATACGGAACAGAAATAATGAACACCGTAAATGCATTCGTGTTTCTATATAGAGGCACCACTGTATGAAACCTGAGACCTTAAAAGGTAAAAATCCTTGTTATGCATCAAAACTACTTACTAAACATGTCAGTTTTTTATATTATGCGTACCTATTGACAACGAGTCTTATAAAAACTATTCTCTACATATTATTTGTATGATTTAACCATTAAAGAATTATATGATAAGTTTAAAAGTGTATATCTATGTATACATAATTAACAGTATAAAATATTTATTTAAAATACAATTTTACAGAAATAACACCAAAACATTTAACTAGTACAATAGGTAAGTATTTAAATTCTCATTAAAAAATAAAAAGTAAAAGATATTAATACAAAATTTAAACTGCTTATTTACCACAAGTCACAACTCACAACAAACAAAAATAAAGCGATTAAAATGTTATTTCATTTAATTTATTACTTAATACTGCATTATTATTGTTGAGAATTATAAATTTATGGCCAATCAGAAAAAATAAGTTAGTATTAAAATTGTTTTTATATTATTGACTCTAATATCAACATCGAGTTTGAAGCATAATCATGAAAATAATAAGATTAAAAATCAAATTATGAAGTTCAGGCAACATTAATTTTTTTTCACACAGTAAAAAGTTGTTAGCATATAAAGTAATTTAATAGTTTATTCTACAGTATGTCCTATATACTCCAATTGAATAACTGATGATTAATGAATATGATTAATAATGATTCATTTTTTTAAATTAGTTCCCTAGTGATATATTGAATATTGATATGAGTCATGTGATTATATGAACGATACGTCCCATACCAAACAGATATAACTATATATATAACAGATAACTATCTATATTTATCATACCATTTAATCTATATGTTTATTATCCATACCTATATCAATGTATACACTATACATACACTAGTTTATGTCCCAAAAATAACAAAGGTTGGTAGTGATATCCACAAGGTTATATAACCTACCTGAATTCAATCCTCGTTACCAAAATTATTATACAAATAGCGTCCATGTGTACCTGTGTCGATTAAATTAATTATATTTAATGTTTGTCATTTGAATTCATCGATTAAACTTTATTTCTATCAATGACGTACCTAAGGGGGGAAACAGGGATATCCCCCCCCCTAACAAGTTTTAAGCATAATTCACATTTATTTTCGATAATGTATACTTGCTTTCGAATTTTGAATGGTTTGTAAGTGAGATCTTTAATAGTTTCCTGCTCCTCCAAAAATTTTTTACAGGTACGTTGACTTCTATACAGTCTTAATCTAACCTTAAGTGGCTAAGTCTGTGTAAAATATTAAAATGTAATGTGAATAGAAATTATATTTTACGTACGGACTCAACTTAGGTATTTGTTATCCCTACTAAAGAGGTTCAACCATAGATAGCATAGATACGATTGATACGATTATGCATATTACATATAATGTAGGAATGCATACACAATATACATGCTACATTTAAATATTTTTAAACTTTTTAAGTCAAATAAGTTGATTGAAATATCAAGAAGTTTAAGATAAAACTATTAAAAACCTTTCTAACAAAAACTCATACTAGGTATATATTCTATACAGTGGTAAAATATCATAAATAATAATGTATGTTGTACTATTGTATTAATAGTTGAGGATGTTAATAAAAATAAAATATCGATTAGCATATACAAAATTGATAACGAATAAAATTCTAGTCGCGTATCATTTTTTTTCTGAATAATAAAAGCATTATCGATGTATTATATGACATGAAATATTTCAAATAGAGGTAACTTCCTGGGATATTTGATAATAACGAATATATAGAATTTTAATCCATACAAAAATAATACTATAAAAACCAATTCCTAACCATCCATGACCTTTCTAGTTTCTATATTATAATAATATAATTTATAAATAAACTAAAATATTATACGTTTTTTGGGATAGGTTTCCACTTTACAAGCATATAGTATTTTAATTTAATTTTGATTCCATTATGTAGAAGTTAAACGCACATTAAACACACAGATTAAAATTTACAATTAATATCCTTTATCGGCACAGCAAATAAAAATAAAATA